TGTATATATATATATATATATATATGTGTGTGTGTGTGTGTGTGTGTGTGTAATAATAATATTATTATTAGTAATAAATATTATTTTTAATACTGCTCCCCTTTTTTTACTATTAATCTATAAATATTGTGAAATTCTAATTTATTTGTATTTCACAATACTTTAATTAGCATTTGAAGAATCTTTGCGTTGGTTCGAATTAATAATTTGTTTAAACTCATTTCTTAAAGTTCACACACAACTTTTGGGACTGTAGCTTCACTTTATTTATTGCATTATCACAAGAATGCTTACTCACACATCTCGAGTTCCGAGAGATAGACAACTTCACAATGACAAAGAAAAAGCACACACCCAAAAACAAAACAATTGGCGAGAGAGACGTGTGGCGCGGGGCCTCACAATTGGCGAGATATTCACAACATCGCCACACGCATACAGCATTGAACTTTTAATTAAATATTAATTCTGCATTTTCAATTTTGCCTCGAAAATTGAACTTGAAGAAAAGTGGTAAGAAATTTTATGCTAGCAACAAAGAAGAAATAGTTTGTATAATGTGATAAATACTTTATGAAATGCGAAAATTGTATTAATTCTGAATTCCAATTAAACAAAAGCTAAAAACAGTATAAAAACAGAAAAATTCAAAATACTGTATAATTTTTTAAATACTATAATATTTTTCACTTTTTCTTTGAATGATATATTTGTAATAAAATGCATTAAACATCTGAAGATACAGATTAGAATGAATGGATCTTGCAAATGCGAACTTTCCTAAATTAAAGACAGTCAACTTTATTAATAGAAAGCAATTTAAATAACAGCAATCATAGACTGTATGAACAATGAATTATTTCGTAAATATCTTTTATAAAAGAAATATAGAATGATATGAAATTAATTATCCAGAAATGTTTTGTACCAAAATTATACATCAAAAAAACTAAAACATGGATATAAATTTATTATATTAAAATAAAATGTTAAAACTTTAATATGAAATCTGAAAAAATTCTAAGACTCTTATCAGATATAATATATTCCCACATGCTTTGACCAAGATTCTAGCATGGAATAGATTTTTTTTAATATTCCATAATCATCCACATTTAACACTTTCAGTTTTAATAATTTTTTTTGACAAATAATTTAAATGAATAGCATTTTATTTAAAAACGCTGAAAAACAGCTAATTTAAATGGAATATGTATATGACACATTCTAAATAAAAGTATTTTAAAAATAAAAACAGCAAGATATATCTACTTACCAAAAAGTAAAACAGCATCTTCTTCAGAAATACCGCTGTGAACTAAAAGTTGTTTTAATTCTTCTTAATTCAAAATATTAAGTGACATATTCTCCAGAAAAAACTAAACGTAAAATAAAAGCGAAGACATAATCTATTTAGATCACAGAACATAACAATTTTATTTAGATTTATTATCGTTTGCTTTTTAAAATAAAACGATAGAAATTCCAGCTTATAGCTCGCACACAATTAAATAGTAAATAAATCACTCAAGTTTGAACTAAAAGCACTCAAATATTGCTTAAATAAATGCCACTCAAGTTTGAGTAAACGCAAAGCAAGAATTTCGCTTAAATAAGAGTGTATTTCACTCAAGTTGAGTTAAAAAAATTTAACTCTTTTTTGAGTAGGGGAAATCACTCTTTCATTTTAAGAGAGTACCAGAAAAATATGATAACAGTAACAAGAGTTCTAAAATATACATCAAAGGTGTTCAATACGAAACACTCAGAATAGAATGGCATTGTCTATGCACCGGGTGTATTAAAAACAAAAGTTCTTAAGTAATCGATGCAAAAATATTAAATTAGTTGTAAGTAATAAAGCATGGTGTAAAAGACTCCACGTGCATTTTAACCATATAAGATAAGCTTTAGTCATTTTAGAATGACATGAAATGCCCCACTAAAGAGTTTGCAAACCATTTTTCTCAAAAATTACGAATGAATTACGTATGGTTTTTAGTTGGTCTGAAATGCTTTGTTTTAACGTAAATCGACTCGAGTTTCTCTTTCACGTGAAAAAATTATACAAGTTTAAAAAATTATTATAATATTATAATAATTTTTTATTAAATTTAAATAATTTCTTTATATATTGAAATAAAAATGAACTTTTGTACTTTGTAACTATACATTTAATAGTTTTATTATACAGTTTCAAACTAAAAAGAAAATTATCTTCTTTTAAATCTATGATACTAGTTAAAAAAGATAAAAATTAACCAATAAAAATGCATTGCATAAATAAATTGGAAAAATGCTTCTTTGCTAATATGAAGAACACCATATATCAGAGAGCAAATAATTCTAACGTAATCAATGATGTCGATTTTATAATTTTTCCCCAATTACTGTTATCTATGTTTCAGTTTTTAATGTCTTCGTTTGTTATAATATTACTGACAGTTCGTTTGCGACGTTCATTTAGAACTTTCTGTGATGCTCTAAATGAACCATTGGTTTTTATCATAATTAATTGTTTTCCTTTATACTTTGAATTTATGTGGTAATAGACACATTGAGTTTAAATAAGAATTTTTAAAAGAACTGCAGAAAACTCATTACAAAATCTCTAACCAAATCACTAAAAAAACAACTAAGCACAGTCTCAAAAATGCTAACTCAATTCTTAACTTACTGAAACAGGAAATCACTAAATTACAAACTTAGTGATAAGTCCCTAAGTGGTACCTAATTGAATTCAAAACCCGTTAAAACAAAAAGTAATATATTGACACAACTGACCACATCACTAAATCTCTAATCAATTTAATTATTAAATTAACTTATTCAAGCAGTAAACTACTAAAGAAAGATAACACTTAATCACTAAAACCCTAACTAACCAAAACACAGACTGATCAACGGAATCATTAACCTCTAAACGTTAAACGTAATTTATCGTTCAATCACTAAACTAACTAATTAAATCACTAACAATATGACGTAATCATTTTCAAACTAACTAAATTACTTAATATCCTCCCTTTTCTATTTCCTTTTCTATTTCGAATTTTATTTTATTGTGAAAATGTGAGTCGAACCCAATATTATACAATAATAAATAGGCAATATATTTATATAAAATAAAATAATATTGTTTTGACAGGTTGTTTTGCTTTTTAATTTTGGAAGTCCCGTCAATGATGATAGATTAAGAAATGCAATTTGGGAGGTAAACAAAAATTTTAGAGGTAAGTTAATGTTTTCGGTGTTCAAAAGTTTGATGAGACTGTTTTGTAATGCGAAAAATATGTTTTTCAGAGGTAACAATTTTAGCCATTGGTCCTAAGAAAGAACATCTTCAAGTCTTTACTCAGAATGATGACACTGACATTTTTACTGATACAGGAAGTGCTACTGCTTTAGCGTCTAAGCTAAAACCTAGAATTTGTAAAGGTAGTATTTAGAGAAAAAACTTTACTATTATATTATTATTTATTTTAATTTAATATGTAATAGGGACAGATCTGACAACATTAAATCTGTAATACTGCTTAGTTTTAGTCACTAACATGACTATAAATATCTTAAATCCATTTGTCAAAAAAACTTTTTTCTGCAGTTTCTAGATGTTTAGAAATAAGAAAATGAAGTTAGTGTTTCTTGATCTTAACAACACAATATATTTTACTGTGCCATTTTCAGAATTAGCAAAGAGGGTGCCACGAATAACTGCTTCTCAAAAAAGCGTTATTTAATGGAACAGCCTCTGTCAGTTTTGTAAGCATATAACTCATCTGTATGGCGTTTTCTACCTCTGTCTTGTTATCATGATCTAATCACTCTGTATATTGATGCAAAATGTAGTCGAGCGGTGTGCTAACAATTCGGAGAGTTCTGAATGTAAGAGATTATAAAGATATAGTGTTATAGATTTTAATTATCTAGAAATTCCAGGTATATTTCACAACGTCATTTCTTATTTATTTATTTATCAATTCCTTTGATATCTGTGTACTAAAAAAGCTCTTAATTTTGATTATTTTCTTTTGTTACGCCTTTTGTTCGCTTTTATTTTCCTTTGAAAAAGAAAATTGATTTTTCTAAAGTTTTAATTTTTATTCAGGTTGATTTGAAAAATAATTCTTATTTTGTAGTAAAATAGTAATTTGCAATCACGAGTGAATAGTCAAAAATTCTAAAGGATGTTTCAAAAATGGCCATATGTTTAGAACTCTTCTCAACAATGAAAAGAATGAAAGACATAGGGAATTGATATTTAAAAACGAAATTATCAGGTCAATGGATGTACATACTTTACCCATCTTACTAGACAGTGATTTGTTATATTTTTTTTCGTTTTTTCCTTGCTTAAATATTAATTTTGAACTACCAATATTTGTCTTTATTGTTGACCTTGTATACAACACGTGTTAGAAACTTCGATTTCATATGCATTTGTAATTGAAACCAATTTATTGATATTTTTAGCTCCAGCCGAATTTCAATTTAAAGAATGCTACCGTAGTAGTCCAGGAACTGAAGCAGATAATAAACAGACTGTGTTTATTCCGTTAAATAAAAAACAGTACTGGTCAATGTATCCTAAGTACTTTTTGAAGAGCTTCAACATTAAGATGAAGGTAAGATCCTGTTCTTTAAATGGTTCAAATTTTACACATGATTATAATTATTTATAAAAAGAAGGAAATTTTATTTGGATGTAAACAATAGATTCTCAGTTATACAGTTGGGCATTTATTAGATAATTAGTATGAATTAAATAACTTAGGGTGAGAATATAAAATTTTGTATTTAAATCTAGAAAACTTCTGGTAATAAAATGATAAACTACATTTTCAAATTGTTTAAGAAATGTTTTTTAACCACATATTTTAAGTAGAATGATTTCCATGCAGTAATAAGGAAATTCTAAAACCTTTTAAAATACCCATCTAGAAAATAAACTAAGAAACTGTTTCATGTAAAAAATAAATCTTAGAAAAAAGTGACATATCTCCTTATATAAATTGCTCCTATAATCATGGTGCATACGCTAAAGAGGGTATCTGGAAAAGCACAAAATGTCGTATAAGAGACGTGGTGGCTCAGGGGAAAGAGCGCTCGCCTGCCAATGAGGTGAACACTGTTCGAACCCTGGCAATGGCTGGTCGATTCGAATTCCTACCACAGTGCTGACGTAAAATATCCTCAGTGATAGACAGATTATGGGTAAGAGTCTCCCTGCCGTCAGGCTAACCGTGGGAGGTTCTCATAGTCTTCCTCTCCATGTAACGTAAATGCGGGTTAGTCCCATCAAAAAATCCACCAAGAAGATAAATTTCTCAAAAACTTTATCCAGGAGGACCCTTGTATTCGGGATTGGGTTCAAAATTACGAGGCTTCCAAGTTGAACATTAGTAGTCGTAAACCCGAAATTGGTCTGCTGTTCAACGACGGTTATAAAATAAAATGTCGTATAATGTTTAGTGTTTTCCCAATTGCGCTCTATATTCTTCCAAGCATGCATCGTGACAATTCTGTATGGATCAAGTGTAACGTATTGACTGCCCTTAATGTATATTTTTAGAATTCTTGTCAAAAATTAAGTCGCAAAATAATATTTATGAGACACAAAAATTAAAACGCTATTAAAATCTGACCAATCTCTGTCAGAGAAGGTGGGTTCATGAAACAAGATCTTCTTGGTTTCCGGATGAAACCGTGAGGAGTCGAAAGACGATTCTTAGAACAATCTAGTTTAATTCCACTATCAAACAGGTTTTTTTATACCCTAAACAATAATTCAAATTTCGATAAAGTCGTCTTCCTTAAATACACTTACATTTAAAACCCCCTGGTCAATCTAAATGAATTCTTGTTTTCTATATGAATAGAGGAAAATGTTCCACTTACCTTTAGACCGCCAATTTGATTATTCATTAACCTTTATTGGTTTTAATTACAAATAGATGAAGATGAATTTACATTAAATGGTAAATGATGATTATAAAGCGATGAAAGTATTGAGTTAGGTATTAGCGCTGCATGGCGCGTCTCTAGCTACATTACATCTACTGTTTTTAGTTTTTTTAAAAAAAAGTTAATACTTCTGATGCGCCAGCAGCGCCATCTGAGGATAGTTTTCTGGGATGAGGGGGGATGACATCTGGGGATGAGGGCTCGTTACATCCTCCCACCTTGAGTTTTGGACAACGAATGTCATGACGAAACTCAATTAGTCAATTCAAGCCTATAAAGTTTTCGACATGGTCGTAAGTACGATCCGTGTCGAGTTTTTACTCGCACCACTCTTGTTTTTCCATCTTTGCCGGGGTAAAGAGCTTCTATTTTTCCCAAAAGCCAATTGATGCGTTTGTTGTTATCGTCTCCTATGAGAACGATTTCTCCTTCTTTAACTTGAGAGTCTTTCTTTTTGCGGGCGAAATCCTTAAGTTGTCCTAAATATTCAATTCGGAAACGTTTTCTTAAGTCCTCTCGAATTTTTCGGCGATAGGCGAATTGTTTTTTCATCCTTGTGGCATCAATTAGATCAATATCTGGTACTCCTGATTCTTTAAGTTCGTGCAAAAACATGGCTGGTGTTATTGGGATTAGGTCCTCTAGATCTTCTGAGATGTTTGGAATTTATGATGTGTGACAAATGACTGTGTTTAGTTCTTCATAGAGAAGGTTTGCTTTTCCAAGGACTCTTCGTAAAATTGATTTTAGCATTCCAATCATTCTTTCAAAAAATCCTCTCCACCAGGGTGCAGAGGGAGGATTGAACTTCCAGTGAATCTTTTTCGAAGTAGCAAAATCCTTTTGTTTTTCGATGTCTACTGATCTCAGATCTGCAGCCGCTCGAGTCAGATGTGTGCCGTTGTCAGAGAAAACCGTTGCTGGTCTTCCTCGTCGTGCTATGAACCTTCTAAATGCCAACAGAAAGCTATCCGTTGAAAGTGAAGTAACTAATTCAACATGAATGGCTCGGAAAACCGCACAGGTGAATAGCACGATCCAACTCTTGCTTCCATCCTTCAAAAAGAGTGGTCCGCACAAATCCACTCGAATGACCTCGAAAATCAATGCTTCTCGTACACGATCTTCAGGTAGAGGACTACTTAGGACTTCTGTAGGACGAGCGCTGAATCTTTTGCAAATGACACATCTTTTAATCACTCGTTGAACAGTTTTTCTGCATCTGGGGATCCAATATTGTTCTCTTAGAACTGACATTATAATTTGAGTTCCGGCATGGTTTAGTTCTTTGTGTTTATCAAGTATAAGGCAGTGAGTGATATTATGGTCAGATGGCAGAACAGTAGGATACTTAAATGTTCTCAAATCCTTCCTCATGGCTATTCTTGTTCTGACTCGTATAAGGCCTTCATCATCCGTTATAGTTTATAATGAAGTATAGCAAGGCTTTGTTTCTTCTTCCAGGTATCTGTTCTGCACGTACTTTAAAATAACCATTTCAGCGTCCTTCATTTTTTCAATGGCCAGCTGTTCCTCGAAGTTTCGTTCATCCGTAGCACTCTTGATGTTTCNCTTAGAACTGACATTATAATTTGAGTTCCGGCATGGTTTAGTTCTTTGTGTTTATCAAGTATAAGGCAGTGAGTGACATTATGGTCAGATGGTAGAACAATAGGATACTTAAATGTTCTCAAATCCTTCCTCATGGCTATTCTTGTTCTGAATCGTATAAGGCCTTCATTATCCGTTATAGTTTGTAATGAAGTATAGCAAGGCTTTGTTTCTTCTTCTAGGCATCTGTTTTGCACGTACTTTAAAATAATCATTTCAGCATCCTTCATTTCTTCAATAGTCAGCTGTTTCTCGAAGTTTTGTTCATCCGTAGCACTCTTGATGTTTCTATAAAATCTATAAATCCAAGCAGTTACTCTTATCATTTTTTGATATGATGTTAAAGTATCATATAATGGAATTTGTCCTTTGAATAAATGTGTTGAAGTCACTACTGTTTTTCTTCTTTCAGCGTTGATAATGTCCAAATCTGGATCGATAATATCTTTTACCACGATAATATCTTATACCAGAGCTGTGGTGGATCCTTCAACCAAATTGGGCCCTCCCAAAATTTAGATTGCTTAAGATGCTCTGCAGAGCATCCTCGTGAGGGAAGATCAGCTGGATTAAGAGATCCGGGAACATAATTCCATTCTTCTGGCAAACTGAGAGATCTGATTTCTTGGACTCTGTTGTAAGCAAAAGGGGCCCAATTTTCATTCCTTTTTATCCAAAAAAGGGCATTTACTGAATCTGACCAGAAAAATGTTGGAACATTTTTAAGTCCTAAGTCTGATTTAATTCCATGTGCCAGTCAAGCTCCAATTGTACAGGATAAAAGTTCAAGTCTGGGTATTGTGACGGGTTTTAGAAGAGCTACTCGAGATCGAGCTTGAATGAGCTGACATGATGTCGAGTCTTCGTTTTGGCTTCTCAGGAATATGCATGTAGCCTTGCCTGTAGCCAGGAATACCTTGCTCGCATCACAAAAAATATGCAAACTTAAATTTCTCGAACCTTCAGGCTTGTCCAAGAGACACCTCGGAATGGTTATATCTTTCAATTGACTTAGTTGTTTTTGCCATTTTTCAAACGTTTTTCTAATAGAAGATGGTAATTCTGCATCCNATGTCGAGTCTTCGTTTTGGCTTCTCAGGGATATGCATGTAGCCTTGCCTGTAGCCAGGAATACCTCGCTCGCATCACAAAAAATATGTAAACTTAAATTTCTCGAACCTTCAGGATTGTCCGAGAGACATCTCGGAATTGTTATATCTTTCAATTGACTTAGTTGTTTTTGCCATTTCTCAAACGTTTTTCGAATAGAAGATGGTAATTCTGCATCCCAAGTGCATTTTAGCTTCCAGCACTCCTGAAGCATGATCTTCGGTCTTAATGTTACTGGACACGTGTAACCGATGGGATCGAATACGTGAACTTCAGACAGAATTTTTCTTTTGGTTAAAGTCTCAGAGGTCTGCGATGTTTACTTTAAGTCCAAAATCAATGAATCAGTACTTAACTTCCAAATCAGTCCCAAAACTGGTACTTTTTTTTCGTCTTCAGGGATGGCTACTTCTTGTGAATTTAGGATGCTATTCTCCCACCCTCTTAGATCGAATTGAGCTCTCTTCAATATATACTGCGATTCAGTAATAAACTTCTGCAAATGTTCTCTATCTTCAACACTGGTTAAGCAATTATCTACATAAAATGATTCTTCTAATTTCACTGCAGTTTCCAGCATTGATTCTGGCGCTTTCTTCAAATGGTACTGTAGAGTGGCTCCCAACAAATACGGACTACAAGTCAAGCCAAACACCACTCTTCTATGTTGGTAAATTTTGATCTTCGAAATGTCTCCATTTTCACACCATATAAATCTTAAGAAAGGTCTGTCAGCTTCACTCAGTTGAATTTGTAAGAAAGCTTTTCAAATATCTGCAATGACTCTTATCTTATTAAATCTAAATCTGTTGATAACTGAAGGAATGAGCTCCACAAGATTAGGTCCTTTTTCAAGACAATTATTGATGGAGGGAAAAATTTTTATTTTTGTCGAGCCATCAAAAACGGGTCTGATCTTGGTAGTAGAATTTTCTTTTATCACTGCTAGGTGTGGCAAAAAATTTTCATTGGTGGCTGTATCGTCTGGGTTAACCTCTTCGATAATTCCCTCCCCTCTCGCAGCCATTCTTTAAATACCGCTTCATAATCTTCTAATATTTCTGATTTTTTTAAGGACTCAACGCAGTTCTTCAATCTTCTTTCAGCAACACTTCTATAGGTAGGCAATGTAGGGTGATTTAAGATCCATGGAAGGCTCACTTCATATCTCCCATCTTCAAGTACCTTAATGTTGCGATTAAAATGGTCTTCGGTAGCTTTTGCAACTTCTTCTCTTGATTCTTTTTCTCCTGGGTCTAATATTCCTAACGTAACTAGTTTCCAGAGATCCGAAATTTTAGCCTGAGCCACATGAAGGGACAAAACTGTGCTGGTACTATTACTGTTTTCAGGATCTCGAGTTTTACCCATAAGTGTCCAACCTAATCGCGTTTCGAATGCAATTAAATTTTCTGAAATCGATTTAATAATACCTGTGAAAAGTTTACCGCAAACGCCGGCTACAATAAGTAAATCAATTTCTTTAGTTTCTGAATTCGACCCTTCCATGTTTTTATAATCGCAAAATTTAATTCCTATCTTATTCGCTTCTTTTATCCACGAGCCGTCTCTTATTTAGGAATTTCTGTACAAATTTTTTCCTGATCATAAACTTCAAAGTTACAAAAATAATCCCGATTTGAATTGCTCAAAAAAATTCTGTATTTATAATGCTGATTAGTTCTTTGCAATCCACCGAAAAGACTATGTTTTAAGTTTTCTTGCCCTATTGGTTTGTAACCTATTTTATTTATTGTTTATTTTAAAAGATACGACTTTTGGGACCCCGTGTCAATCAATCCGCGTATAACTATTTCTTTTTGTCCGTTTATTAAGCGAATTGCTAACTTTCGCATTAATACTTCCGGATTACAAGTTTCATTCGATAAAACCGTACTTTCCACTTTACTATCTATTTTCTTTTCCGGACACATAAATGTATAATGACGTCTGAAACAAATATCGCATTTTACAAAACTCCTGCATTTTTTAGCCGTATGGCCAAAGCGAAAACAAATGAAGCAACAACCGCTCCTCTTTAAAATATCCCATTTCTCATTTATTTCTTTCAGTTTGAATTCATTACAATCCCATAAATTATGTCTATCGTTACCGCAAGAAATACATTTATTTTTCTTATTACATGATTCATTCAATAAACCTGACGCCGTTGATATGCGATTCTTATTTTGTTTATTCGAATTCTCGGCTCCACTGCTACGCTTTGAGGAAGGGAAAGGGGAACATTCTGAAACACGTGTTATAGACGAACTCAAGGCCTTGGCTTTTTCTCGGTTAATTACTTCTGTTTTTAAAATTTCTAGGATCTCTGATACTTTCCACTCATCATCATTGCTTTATTTTTTAGTTATTTCTAACACTATATCTGAGGGAAGTAATTTAATAAGTATAGGACAGAGCAAAGCCCCGTAATTTTCCTGATTAATTCCCAAAGATTCTAAATTTCTTATTTCAGTTTGACAAGAATCAAAAAGTTTTCTTAATAAAAAAATATTTGTTGAGTTTTCTACTGGGGTTAAACTCAACAATTTATTTAAATGAGAGTTAATTATTAACGTTTTCTTGCCAAAGCGTTCTTTTAATGTTTCAATTGCTCATACATAATTATTATTTGTTAAACTGAATCCTTTAATCCCATCTGAAGATGATCCTGAGCTAAATATGTTTTCAAGTAATTAAACTTTTCAACATTCGACAAATCAGTGTTTTTATCTATGGCAGATTCGAACTTATCGTAAAATCTTTGCCAGTCTGAAGGATGGCCAGAAAATTTCTCTATAGTTAAAAGAGGCAGTTTCACAGAAGAATTTTCATTTATTCTTATATTAGTGTTTATCTTCGGTTTGGAAATGTTCGAATTTAACTCAGGAGACACTACCGAAATCGACAGTTTTTCTATTTTTCTTTTTAATCTGCTTTTACTTCGTACAATATTTGTCAAATATTCATCACACCTTATAATTTCTGTATCGATTTCATTTACTTCCGCAATATCCTGATGAATTTCGAGATCAATTTCTTTCATTGTTCTTGTTTTAACATTAATTCAGACATTAACTCATCCAATTCATCTATTGTCACCGTTTCATCTTGATATATGCTTTCGATTTTGGTTAATAAGATTTTAGTTAATACGATTTTGGTTAATATTTTGGTTATCGTAGTACGTTTTTGTTTGGATTTCTCCATCTCAATATATAAACGAACTACATATACAGTCACTATTCTATGAAACTAAATTTCTAATCGAAAATAAACAAGAAATCTCTTAATGGCGGTCCCTGTTCGGGCGCCAGAAAATGTTCTATCTTATATGAATTCTTGTTTTCTAAATGAATAGTGGAAAATGTTCCACTTACCTTTAGACCGCCAATTTGATTATTCATAAACCTTTATTGGTTTTAATTACAAATAGATGAAGATGAATTTACATTAAATGGTAAATGATGATTATAAAGTGATGAAAGTATTGAGTTAGGTAATAGCGCTGCATGGCGCGTCTCTAGTTACATTACATCAACTGTTTTTAGATTTTTTTAAAAAAAAGTTAATACTTCTGATGCGCCAGCGGCGCCATCTGAGGATAGTTTTCTGGGATGAGGAGGGATGACATCTGGGGATGAGGGCTCGTTACACCCCCATTGTGTATACAGCTTATAGAAAGGTAAAAATGTGTATGCTATTTTACTTTTGCTTTTTGAAAGTAATTATTAAGCATGTAAACAATGATAATTTTGTTTTAGTTTAAAGCAGTGGATGGGGCTCACATTAAAGTTTGTTTCTCCAGAAATTACTTCAGAATTCTTGAGGATGGTTCCCAGTACAAAGAATGTCGAGATGCAGGTAATGATGTTTTTTACATACATTCTGGTACGGTTATAACATTTCTGGTAAAAAAAGAATTTTGCTAATAAAAACTAAAATATATGGCATTTAAACCATTTATATGGTACCAGAAATTCTGTTTTTCAAAATTATCCTACTTGTTGCCACGCACGGTTAGTGAAAGAAACAAAACTGCAAAGAAAATAAATTGAATAAATTGTTCTTATGCCAGGCTGATAAAGTCTCCAAATTTTAAAGCATTAAAATTTTATCAAATATTATAGAACCACATTTTATCAGTACTTTTACCAAAATCATTACCAAACCGTTTCGGTAAAAATTAGGAGCCTTTTGGTGTTCCCATAGAGTCAGAAAATTAAGTAATCTTTCCCCTAGTCTGAAAGTTTTGACCATACTTTTTTCTCTGTGTACGATTTTTATTTCATGCTTAATACATATATCAAACAACCGCAAGAAAAGTGACACAAGTTAAAAAACATCAATTTTGAGGTTATGTCAATAAAAAATTTTCAGAATAAGTTTTATAGTATTGTATAAGCTGATTTTTCTCAAATGCTGTTTTTTGACTTGTGTCACTTTTCTTGCCGGGGTGCAGTATATATATATATGTTAAAAGTATGTTATGTATATATATATATACATAAAAAGATTAATTTAAGCTTTTTATGTTACATATATATATAACGAAAGGGTAAAACACGGTGTAACACTTTTTCGCGAATTATTTTCCTTTCTCAAAAGAACAAACACGCTTCGCAGAGAGGGGGAAAGGTCACAACTACATGTAGTTGATTCTTAACACTTTCTGTATATTGTATTTTTGTCTTAGTTGTTTCCTCTACTATCTAGTGTCAGACCCAGCAGCGTATCAACTGGGAGCGGAGGCCCCCTCTAAAGTTTAAGTGATGGGGCAAACAATGTGTTTCCATCCTCCTTTAATTTGGACACTCACAAAAATAAGTCAAGTAAAATCAGTAATTTGAGGGAGAAAAAAAATTTTTTTTTTTTTTCAATTTTGAAACTATTTTCCATATAGAAACTTTCATATTCCTCTAAAATTTAAGTGTGGGGGGGGGATTGAACAATGTGCTTTGCCCCTTCTAATATATAGACATTTGCTTAAGTCAAGTAAAATTGGTAACTTCAGAAAGAAAAAAAAAGCTATACACTAAGTAGGAAACTTTATTGTGCTCTAAAATTAAACTAAATGAGCGAATAACGTGCTTTTTGACATTTGGAAAAGTAAAGTAAAAGTAGAAAGAATATTTTATTTCCAATTTTCACTCTATTTTCCGGGTAGAAAACTTGATTTTCTTCTGAAATAATAATGAGGGAGCGAACAAAGTGTTTTGTTCCTTCTGAAATTTCGACGTGAGCAAAAATAAAGTCAAGAAAAATTGGTAAGTAAAAAAATTTCATCTTTAAATCTATTTTCCAAATTGAAAACTGTGTTTTTCTCTGAAATAAAAGTGAGGGGGCGAAAAATCTGCTTCGCATCTTCTGAAATTTAGGCATTAGCAGAATAAAATTAAGTGAAGTTGGAAATTTTAGGAAAAAAAAAAGTTATATTTTTTTATAACTTCGACGCTATATTCCAAGTAGAAAACTTAATTTTTCTCTTAAATTATAGTTGAGGGAGTAGAAAACTTTGTTTTCTTCTGATATTAAAGTAAGAGGGCAAAAATGTGTTTTTATCTCCTGTAATTTGGACTTTTGTGATAAAGACAAATAAAATAGGTTTAAAAAAAATAGAAGCCATTTTCCAAAAAGAAAATTTTATTTTCCTCTTAAATTAAAGTGAGTGGGAGAAGAATATACTTCATCCCTTCTGGAATTCATGACATTCGCGAAAATAAAGTCAAGTGAAATTAATATTTAACTCTCAATTTCAACTTTAAAGCTATTTTCCAAATAGAAAACTTTATTTTCTTCTGAAATTTAATTGAAAGGGAAGTTAATGTGCGCCACCCCTTCNTATATATATATCTGTGTGTGTGTGTGTATAAAATTCATTACATATGCATAACTTTCCTGGAATATGTCTTCATGAAATTTGATTTTATATATAAAATGAATACTTGAATCTATGTATGGTGTTCTTAGGTGAGGAAGTTGAATTCTGGACGTCGAATCCTTGTTATAGTAAGTAATTTCTTTTTTAAAATAGCAACGAATTAGTAAATACTTCGTTTATTTCGTTCTCAAATTCAGATACTCTCGATATCTCAAAGTTGAATGGACGCTAAAAACATACTGAAATAACAAGTTCAGAACTAAATATGTTCTATCAAGTAAAAGAAAAAAATTCTTAAATAGTATTCTAAAACGTTGAGTCGTCAGAATGAGTACAAATAAAGATAATTGCATAGTAGTTGACAATAAGTCTAAATTCTTCAATGATAATTATATTTCTAAAAGCAACATAAAAATACTTATGCATTATATTTAAAAGAATTCGTTTGCAATAAGCTTACATTAATAGAGTTCATTATTAGGTTGTTAAAAAAGCTCCGCAACAGATTTCAACTTTTTATTTTGTGTTGCTTTTTGGTGTTTTTAATTTAAACTTCCATCAAAGAGCTTGACTGAATGAAACGAAATTTCGGTTTTTGATTTGTTGTTGCCACAAACGAGATCTTTTTGGTTTCAGAATTTTTAAACAACCTAATAAAAAAAAACTCTACCATCAATTTTTCTATTCGAAAAATAGCGCTTTTCATGTTATAGGAGTATTTCATGAAACGTTTTAATATGTGGGCAGAATTTTTTAGGAACTCAGTAATGTTGAGTGGTGTTACGCGGTGATTTTTCCGAAAAAAATTAATTTCTTACTTTTCACAGAAAATTATTTGACATAACAAGGTTTTGATTCTTTGACATTGGAATTAATATTAGGTGGATATGTAATACTAAGGGGAAAAGTATTTTTTTGACATAAGAAAGCTGTCATCACTTTCCATGTTCTAGGAGTATTTATTTCATGAAACGTTTTAATATGTGGGCAGAATTTTTTCTTGGAACTCAGTAATGTTGAGTGGTGGTACGCTGTGATTTTTTCGAAAAAGATTCCTTTCTTACTTTTCACAGAAAATTATTTGGCATAACAAGGTTTTGACTCTTTGACATTGGAATTAATATTAGGTGGATATGTAATATCAAGGGAAAAAGTATTTTTTTAACATAACAAAGCTGTCATCACTTTCCATGTTCTAGGAGTATTTCATGTTAAATTTTAATGTGTGGGCAGAATTTTTTCTTGGAACTCAGTAATGTTGAGTGGTGGTATGCGGTGATTTTTCCGAAAAAAATTCATTTCTTACTTTTCACAGAAAATTATTTGACATAACAAGGCTTTGATTCTTTGACATTGGAATTAATATTAGGTGGATATGTAGTACTAAGGGAAAAAGTATTTTTTTGACATAACAAAGTTTTCGAAATATCGAAGTTCGAGATATCGAGAGTTTACGGTATTTAAGTGCCTATATATAATTAAGGTACGAAATTTAATAACTTATTGCATATGGTAGTAAATGGGTTTAGTAATAGCATTATCATCCAGTTTCTTAAAAATATATTTAACACATTGCTATTTAAAATTTATTTCTGTGAATCTTAGTTTGCCCTCTGGCATCAGCAAAACAAAAGCTTTTCTTTTTAATTAATTTTGGATTTCATTGACGCTTAAATCTACTCTGTAAAAAATTTTGTTTATAGTTGCTAGCATTTTTACATTATTTCCACTTGGAATCTAAATGTTTTTCGTGTGTTTCTAAAAATTTCTTTTGAGCGTATTTTAAACGATATGTTTTTCCTAGTCTCGTTATCGTTTCTTCATCCAAATGTATCATTTTAAATTTTCTTATGCATGAAAAAATCCAACTTTTCTAATAAAATCATTTTCTATTATGAATTTGTTTCATAACAACATCAGCTGACCCTGCATATTCATTTCATTGAGTGTTACAGTTCCTGGTTACATTATTTAGACGCACTATAAGATTCTATGCAAAATCTTAATTATAAGGTGATACTGTACAACTTGATTGTTTTTATGCTACTGAAACCGGTTTGCACTTGTTTACGCTTGTGTATCAATTGGTTAAATTAGGCGATATAAATTCGACAATTGGATAAATTCGATGATATATTGTATAAATATAGAATAATTATTATATAAGGTATTATATTATTATATTGTTATGATTAGATCAAATTATTAGACGCATTGCAGTTTTTTAATAATGACATGTTTTGCACGAGTTTATATGCAATACTTTTATAGTCAAGCATGAATGTAATAGGTTTTCATTCGGGAGATTATTTATGTACTTTCTATTTGTATTTATTTTTAACTTATTGCATACAATATTAACCAACTGATACACGAACGTAACCAAGTGCAAACCGGTTTCAGCCTCGTAAAAACAATAAAGCTGTATCGTATCATCTGATAATTAAGGTTTTACATAGAATTTTACAGTGCTTCTAATAATTTGCCAGGAACTGTAAATAACATTGAGTTATTCGAATTAAGAAATTATAACTTCTCCACTTAGAATAAAGAGCCAATAATTTAGTCAAAGTAAAAATATTTTGCTTTGTTCAGAAAAGATTTGAGCTATAGTTTTCTCTTAATATAAATCTGATTACCTGAACACTTCCGTGAATGACGTCACAGATGTCTTGAACCCACTACCCCGTGCAATAAATCTCTTTATTCTAACATTAAATTCAATTTGGAAAGAATGAAGCCTGAATAAACTAATCCTGGGACACAAACTAATCTCATTCTGCTCTGGGCTAGAAATTAATCCCGTTCTTCTACATGTTATAAAAGAATATCTAATAACTAATATTATTTCTTTCTTTTGAAACAGAGCGTAATGAGCATAATTGTGAACCATTCTATTTTTCAATTGAAGGCGTTAAAGCAGGAAGTAGCCTCTGTCAAAGTAAGAAAACATTTTTTTTCACTTATGTTTTTAGAAACTATTTACATACATTTATGTTTTCAAAAATATTTCATAAATGTTATTTTAGTTAAAATAATGTTTGGTTTGATTGCTAATAACAGTTTTGATTGAAAATGCGTACAAATTATTTTTTTGAATTTTAACTAAATAATAAAGATTGAAAAATTTTGAATTAAATTGTGTTTGCTTAATGAGTTTCATGTATTAAAATAATTAATTTTTTTCACTTATGTTTTAAAAACTATTTACATACATTTATGCTTTCAAAATTATTTCATGCATGTCATTTTAGCTAAAACATATTTGCTTTGATAGCTAGTAATTGTTTTGATTGTAAATGAGTAATAATTTTTTTTCCAATTTTATCCAAATGATAAATAACATTGAAAAATTTTAATGTGCTCGTTTAATGGGTTTTATCTATTTCTTAGTTACCTCAAAATTAGTTCTATAACAGCAGCAAACTTAACTTTTGAGCATTGTTTATACTATTAAACGTAATGTCCACCATTACAGAATAATGATAATGTTGATAATCATGTTAAAGAGGCAACAAATAACTACAGACTCTATTGATAATTATAGTAGTAATTAGAAAGAGTTTATACTCATATTCGTAAATTAAGGATAAATCAGATTCATACGGAAATAAATTGAACTCATAAGTAAAATTTTACAAAAGTAGATTTATCATACAAGAATGATATGCAAATTACTGGAAGCCTCCAGACGATGATAGCATGTCACGATGGCGTAAGAGAGGGTTATGTAAGGAATGGTGACAAAACAGTAAAATTGTTTGCAAGCGTTCTGTGAGCAACTCAGTGCCATAACCGAATAGCTAGGACGCATCGGTAGAATTATCGGCCACCTGGAATGGTGGCGTACACAGATAAAAATATCCGAGGAATTGCAAAGATGATGGAAATGTCAGTAGACAGTACAGGTCGTCCTTGAGTTACAACGCCGAATGAAGACCGATATTTTACAGTTACTGCCTAAAGAAGCAGACGGAGCACAGCATCAGACCTNAAACCGTGTACAGACGTTTGGGAAATGTTGGTCTGCATGCTCGAAGGCTTGCCAGATGTATTCCCCTCACGGCAACCCAGAGTTGCCGGCTGTTAGCCTGAAATAGAGAGCATGCAATGTGACTCCCAGTGTTTACGCAAAGAAGGTGAACCCCCTGGAGGGAGTGCGGAGACTGAATCAAATCAAGAAAGATCCTCGAATACCATAGCCCAGATTTAAAATGCTAAAAAAATGAGCTTAATTGGAAATAAAAAAATATTAACTAATTTCACTTAAAGTCATATGTTGCTTCCGAACATTTCTTGATATTACCTTCTAATTTCTCTTTCATTTATTTGCCGAATTTATGTTTCCTTCTTTTTTATTCATTAAAGAAAAGTAAATATGATTGTATATTTGACAACTTTTAGCGTAGTTTGATAGCTCACTCATTAATATACGATAATTATTTTCACGAATTTAAATATTCTAATTTTTATTCCAATATCTTGCAGCAGACGATAATATTTGTCATTACTCTTATTTTATGCAATCTGCTTATTGGCGCAGAATTTAAGTTACGTTCTTAAGAAAAGCTTTTTATTCTTGTGGCGAATTCTATTTTTTCCCCGCCTACATCAGTTTTAGTATAGTACTTTTCAGAATCATATTACTGCATTTTTGTTGGATATTTTTGTGGTTTTGTTATTTATAGTATAACGCATGCTACAGATAACGATTGTAGCATAGATTCTTAAGTATTAATTTACTCCTCATTCATTTGAAAATTAAAAAGAGTGTCATTTCCTGTGAATCAGATTTAATGAAAGTAGCGAATATTCATACATACCCTTTATCCCTTCGAATTAAATATGTACAACATGAATTATTTTTAATTTTAAAATGTAGCTAAATTTAATGATGAAAAGCGTTAATGACTAAGATTGCAAACAGCCTTTTTATTGCTTAAAAGTTGTCGCGAATATAGACGTCTGACTTAAATTGCATAAATTATATAAAGGTCACCAAAAACTTCTTGTCTAAACATAATAACACTTTCATATAATAACACTTTCATTACCTGTTTTCAAATGAGAAATGTGACTATTCAAATTGCTTAGTGTATGCATAATACAAATTTAAAAAATTGATTTTTTAGGCATCTATTGCAGAACACCGAAAGACATAGCTTTTGAATTTAGCCATGAAGGTAAGCATAACTTTATCGATTAATACAGTTTTCTTTTACCCACATATAAATTTTTGTTGACATTTTTAAGTCATTTAATTAATGACGCATAAGTATTTCATATGCACCTTGTAGTTTGGTTTTTGAAAGTTTTATGAATTTAAACAGTCATTTAGAGGTAAGGATGCTTATAATGAAAGATGTAGATATTCGAAGCTAAAGAGCTACGATTTGATCCTTAAAATCGAAGCAAACTTTTAAATTTAAAAAAAATATGTATATCATACCTTGCTGAAACTTTAAATGTTTTTTTTGAAAAATATTAATGTTCTTAAAAATATGATGAATTTGGCGTCGTTTTTTTAAAATTTAGATGAAAATTATTAAAATAAAATATTTTTACCTGGGGTAGAATATTTTTCTTTTACTTAGAATCTTTTCTAATATTTTTCAAATGTTATTAAGAAAATTTTCAAATCAAAGATTTCGCCCTTCGTAAATAATACAAAATATTAATTCTGTAATGTATGAGGAAAATATGTGATGAAAACTACTTTAAAACAAATGAAATTGTTGTAATTTAAAAATAACTAATCTGACAAACCTTTGGTATAACTTATTCAATTTTGTTCTTTGTTAATTAAAATTTCTTGTATTTTTAGGCATATCATGCAATGCTGCAAGTTTCATCATTTCATCTACGACTTTGCTTCTAGCAGTCATTGTTTTTCATCTGAGAGAAAGAAGATTGCTTCCTTGAAGAGAATTCTCTTTTTATTTTTTTTGTATCTTCATTTTTTTATATGTAGCCATTTTTGTTTTGTACTTTTAATTCAGTTAGCGTGATTTAATTTTTTAAAGAATGCGTTGAAACAAATCATGTAACATTTTGTTTAATAAAATAGTAAAAAAACATAATGCATCTTTAGCGCATTAAAATTTGAGCAAAACATAATCATTAACTTAATATTATTAGCTTACACGTTTAAGACAATGTTATTCAGTTTTATGCATAAACTCTGTGGGCTGCTAGGAGAAATTATTTTAGTTTTTAAATTTCTCTTGCTGAAATTTTAAATAACGAAATAAATAGTTGCTCCTAATTATTATTCTAGCTAAATCATAGTGTAAAAAAAATTTAGTATTGTTTAAATAAGATTAAAGATTAACCTTAATCTTTAATCTTATTAAAACAATACTAAATGTTAAAAGATAAAACCTTAAGATTGAAGCTTGTTCGGGATTTAAGTAAGAAATTGAACTGTTTTTAGCTAGAGAAATTTTACATTACATGTTCTACATTTTTCATTATTTTAGTTATTTTTACTACCTAGATAGACATTAAAAATCAATACTTAGAGAGATTAATTCAGAAAAAAATTTTGCTAATTTGTTACATTTGCCCATTTCTGGAGAAAGTTTTATAATTAAATCAATTTATTTGGACTTAACTTTAAATGGCCAAAAACATTTTACCTAAATGTGGTTTGGCCAGACTTGTTCAAGAGTGAAAATACCGTAAGTTTAAAAGAGAAGTTTTCAATCTGACCAAAATAGAAAAGTGAATTTCCTTTCTTTTTTTCAGTTCAGTGAATGGAACTACATTTGGTGAGAGATTTGTGAAAAGCTACATTACAGTTTTATCGAATGTAACCAGTGTATAATGTATGCTTCAAAAATTTTTTTTTGCTCTCAGTTATAATTTTTCCCCACCCAATCAATTTTGATGAAGTGAAAAAAAATTTTTCACTGTCGGAATTAATGGGAATTAATAATCAATTCGGAAAAGTCCTCTAATTGAAATAATATCGTTTTTGTTTGATTTAAAAATAAATACTAAATTAGCAAAGGATTAAATAGTGTATGCAGATTATTTTATTATCATATTTTTAAAATAAGTATGAAGCATTTTTGTTTTGATATAATTTATTTCTGCTTTAATAAGATAATTTTGATTGAAATTATGCTCTTATTGTGGATTTAGAGTTTTAATTTTAAATATTCATAATTATAAATTTTTTCTTTTTACGATTTGATACAATTTCATGTATTGTTTGAGGAAAGTTGTGTTAAAATATCAAACATATTATTTCATTAATAGTTTTTGGATTTTCGACAGAAACCTTCTATTCCTTCTTTCTTACTTCAAAATGAAAATAAACAAAAAATTCTCAAAAATCTTAAGTGGTATTGTCAACAAAATTTACTCTATCAAGACGGCCATTTATTAGCAATTTAGTTCATCAAAATTCCGTAAAAAATTTTCCGTAACAAAATTCCGTAATCAAATTTTCCGTAACAGAATAAAAAAAAATTTCCAACATGGTCAAAACTTTAACCAACAACCCCAAATTATGCTCAGATTTCATAAAAAAAATGAAACAGTTAATAGAAATAAACACCAAACAGTTTTGCTCAGGATTTTCAGGAGTTACCTCCAAGTCAGTGCAAAAATTATGACAAATTAGAAAGATCATCAATCCTTATGAATGACCAAATTTGGTCAAACTTCTTTAAAGCTGAGAATAAATCTCAGCACTAAGATCGACAAAAAAGTGATCAACCACAAAATTGACAATAGTATCCGGATGCATTCAAAATACAATTGATAGCTTTCAACGAAACAATCACCTGATAGGGAGTATAGTTCGTTCACCAGGTGTTGGCGGTTGGCTCCACCTCCTCGGACGCAGAGTTCATTTCAGCGCGGGAGTAAGAGGAGAAACATTTCGCGCTTGAAAATGAGACAACCCTTAATGCGGGCCGAACGCAAGCGCTGCGTCACTTACTTTACTTTATCAGCAGGTATTATAGCTTTCGTTCTCCAGCTAATTAAATATATTTCAAATTTAAAAACTGCTGGTTTCCCTGCAAAATGTTTCCTAAAGGACAAACTATTCACTCAAAAGAGAGAAATATCGTCTAATTTTTGAAATGTCTAATGTTAAAAAAATGCACATAAATATTGCGTAATAAATATTTTTGTCACACAATCGCCAAATAGAAACCTTGTTCAAATCCTTCTCCCAAAAATAACGAAATAGTATTGTCGGATACCACGTAGATTAAGGCGGAGCCAAGTGCCAACTCCTGGTGAACGAACTGTAATTCAATCTTTGTAAATGTTGATAAGGGACGTAACTTAAATATAATTTCAACTGAAAATTTTTAAATTTTTAAAGTTGTAAATTTTCAAGTTAAAAAAGAAAGGAAAATTTTTGTAAAAGTAAAACAAGCAAAAAGTAATTTGCAGCTTAACTAAATTTGCACCTTAAATTAAACATTTAGCTAAATCAGTTTAGTTTTATGTCTTAAAAATTGATAATCCTTATGCAATCTTGGGTATAAAAGCTTATATTGAATTTCAATTTAAGATTGATTATGGGAAACAGGTCGTAATGCAGAATCGGAGAAAAGAAGGGTCATAGACAAGTGACTTCTGATTATGAAAGGGATTGCAATAATAAATGTAAGATTGCAATAATTACAAGGATACAGAAAATAAAATAAAATATTAAATATAAATAAAGAATGTAAAAATAAAATAAAGAAATAATGTTAAATCAAAATCAAACAAAGTATTAAACAAATAAAAACAAAATAAAGTTTTTTATATAAGAATAAATAAGCAAAATAAAATTGTCAAAAAATGTAAGCAAAGTAAACTTAGAGAAAGTTGAAATGGAAAATCGACTTAAAAATAATGTTTTAAATAACAAAACTGAAAATAATCTTGAATTTTCAAATATTCTAGGGACTAAATTTGGTAATGGAAGCCTACATTCTCGTAGCCAAATGGAGGAAATATCACAAGTTCTAAATAATGAAAAAATTTCTCAATTTCAAGAAATTGTACAACAATTTTCAGATGCTTTTGCTTAAGATACACTGTAAAAAATTCCGAGACATGTTGCACCAAAAATTAGTATTCATTTGCTGGCTACATAAAATGGAGCTCAATTTTACCATATTTTAGCATTTTTACTAGCTCTAAATATCAGTAGAAGATGGCACCAAAAGTAGGTGTTTTGAAGAAACAACACAACCATTTTCATTCCTTCCTTTTTTTTCTTTTATAAAAGTAGAGAAAGGTTGCACCATTATTAGGTATTTCTAAAGAGTTCAAATGCAGGCCAAGGTATAATCACTTACCGTAGCAAGATTATTTACCGTAAAAAGTTATTTTATGACATACCTCTAACCATTTTATACCGCCAACCAAATTTAAAAAGGCAACATAAAAGAAATGAACTTTAATTCAAGCAAATAAGCCATTTACCTAACTAAATAAGTAAAAATTTGAAGCAACATGCATTAGTTTTCCCAATACACCGAGATTGAGTTGTAAAGAAAGCATGGCGTCGTAAAGAAATATCGTTTAGTTTACAGTCACTGTCAAAGTTTTGCGTCTTTTATCAATTTTGGTGCGTTCAGTTACACCATGGAAATATTTCTCGACCATACTTCACAATTTATGGTGTAACTGATATTGATCATTACTCAACTAAACTTTGGGATAATAAGAAACTTTGCACCAAATACTGGTTAAAGATTTACCGAGTTTTTTTACAGTGTAAATTTGATGTAGGAAGAAGTAAAATTGTACCACAAAAGTTAATATCAGACATACCAATTTCTTTAAGAGCTTATCAATTTCCCTAATAAGCAGGAGCACTAACAAATTGAAAAATTGTCAAAGCATAATATAATTAAAGAAAGCTCTTCTTTCTATTCGACTCATGTATCTTCAGCTTTTAAAAAAGATGAAAAAAAAGTTGCTTATGTTAGAAAATTAAATCAAATTAATAAATCAGATACTGAATTATTAAATTATAAAGCAGATCCTTGATTGAAATTCTCATATAAACAAGGCAATAGTGTTTATTTTAGTCTTCTAGATATGATGAGTCACAATTGGTCTCTCACAACTCACTGAAATATTGTCACCAACGATAGGAATTGCCATTTGGATGGAAGTATATTTTTTAAAAAAGCTCACAAAATATAAATTATTTTTTCCTTTTATCGGTCTAGTTTGACGTTCTTTACTACCAAATTTTGCTACTTTAAACTCTCCTCATCCTAATTATTATAGACGAACTTTTTTTAATTTTATTTATAACCATCATTGAACAGCCGACCCAAATTTGGGTTTACGGCAACTGACGTTCAACTCCGTAACCTTGTAATTTTGAATCCAATCCAGAAAACAAAAAAGCTCCTGGATCAAGTATTGGGAGAAATTTACCTTCGTGGAGGACTTTTTGATGGAACTAACCCGCATTTGCGTTACATGGAGAGGAAGACCACGAGGAACTCCCACGGTTAGCCTGACGGCAAGGGGACTCTAACTCGTGATCCATCTACCACTGGGGATATTTTACGTCAGCACTGTAGTCGGTGCGAGCCGGATGCGAAATTCGTATCGACCATCGAACCCGGTTCACCTCATTGGAAGGCGAAGTAAACTTTGAATACCTTAAACTACACTTCTTTCGTTGACATAAGGAAAGAAAATAAAAATAATTAGCACGTGAAAAAATTATACATCGAGTGATAAGTTACAGAGCAACGCTGATTTAAGTTTAGAATTATTTAAATCAATCTTACCTTAATGATTAGTCAGATCTTTTCTCATTTAAATACACTTAAGTACCATTACATTAAGGATAGCAACATATTATTATAAAATTTAATAAGCTAATTCATATAATAATCACTTTCTTCAACCAATGAGGTGAAGAAAGTGATTATTATATGCGGTGAACTTTCCAATGAGGTGAACCGGGATTCGAACCCATTGGAAGACGAAAGCTTTATCTTCTGAGCCATCGCGGCTCGACAAACGTTTTCAGTTGCAAATGTTCTTTTTTTACTTCATTTTTTAGG